AGGTCGAGGCTGCGGTGGCCGGGAGCGGCTACTGCACTCCAGTCTGGGCGACAGAATGAGACTCCAACTCAAAAAAAACACAAACATTAAAAGATAGAAGCTGCTCAATGCAAAAAGTTGAAACCTGAAGAAGGGAAAACACTTTTTTAGAGTAATATGTCTTTAATATGTTTACATAATGTATAGTTTATATAATGTATAGTTTAATGTATATCTGAGAAAATTACCTATGACTTTTTAAAGCTAAATCCTACTCTTGCCAGCAAATTATGGTGTTTGCATTTTGAGAAAGGAAGTCTGATTGTCTTTTACATTTTTGACAAACATATGACACTCTTGCAGAAAACTGCACGCTGAAAAGGGGCAGTAAAAAATAATAGAAAAGTCAGCATAGTATTCTAGATGAAAAATTAAAGAAGCCAAATTAAACTGTGTATATGTTAACCATAATTATGTAGTTGATGTACAAAGTAATGACTGTAGCCGGGCTTGGTGGCTCAGCCTGTAATCCCGCGCCTTTGGGAGGCTGAGGTGAGTAGATTGCCTGAGCCTGCGGATTCGAGACCCACCTGGGCAGTGAGACCTCATCTCTACAATAAATCAAAAAATCAGCTGGGCGTGGTAGCGCATGCCTGTAATTCCGGCTACTTGGAAGGCTGAGGCGGAAGGATCGCCGGAGCCCAGCAGGTCGAGGCTGCGGTGGCCGGGAGTGGCCACTGCACTCCATCTGGGCAACAGAGTGAGACTCCAACTCAAAACAAAACAAAACAAAACAAAACAAAACAAAAAACCCAAAGTAATGACTGTGGGTCATCAAGAAAAGGGTAAAATACATTTATTATGTTAATAAGAAAGAATACAGGAGTACATTTTAGAAAGATTTCTATCAAAAAGTAGTTGAAGTTTTATTGTTTCAAGGAGTAAACCTCAGTCATCTGGAAAATTAACTTCTGTAGAAACCTCTTTGCTTCCTGTAGGAAATGTTAGTGTATTATATTGAGGTTATTGTGACAGAATCTTCAGAAATATGAGTGTGCTCTTATTTGTTTTTAGAATCTATAAGCTTTATACCTATTCTAGGCATAGTATGTACTGAGACAGTTTTATAATCCAGCGAAATATGGAGAAATATAGGACATCAGGTGCAACATAGAAACTAGCAAAGAAAAGCTATTGATGATTTATCGATGACTAGTCTCATATCTTTTTATTATTCCTATAAACACATCTCATGATGTATATAGTCAGATTCACAGTTATTTAATCTTTCTTTTTTTGTGTCCATTGCCTCTTTTAGGACCATGGTTTTTTGGTGAAATTATTGACGGCAAATTGGGTTGGTGCTTTTCCTTTGGGATGTTTGTTAATGGACATTTCCTACAAGGCAGCATAACATTTATAATAGGAATTCTCCAGGTAAGAAGTCAGAAATGCAATTTAAGAACATCTTAGGTCTAGTGCGGTGGCTTATGCCTATAATCTTAGCGCTTTGGGAGACTGAGGTGAGTGGATTGCCTGAGCCCATGGGCTCGAGACAAACCTGGGCAACTTGACAACTGTGGTGCTTCCAGCCACCGCAGCCTCCTCGCCTGCTGGGCTCCAGCGATCCTTCTGCCTCAGCCTTCTGAGTAGCCAGAATTACAGGCATGTGCTACCACGCCCGGCTGATTTTTTGATTTATTGTAGAGATGAGGTCTCGCTGCCCAGGGTGGTCTCGAACCCGTGGGCTCCGGCAATCCACTCACCTCAGCCTCCCAAAGGCACGGGATTACAGACTGAGCCACCGAGCCTGGCTAGGACGATCTTTAATAACTGTATTTCATTTGCTTTTAAAGTGCTTCTTCAACTTCCTCCACAACTTGTGTAAACATCGAAAATACATTTTTGCCATGCAGGGTTTATGAGAGGTGAAAGAGGTTTTAATGTTGTTGTTTGTTTGTTTTATTGTTCTTTTTCAGTGACAAAAATAAAATAAGGGACTTATGGTAGAATAAATTTTAGACTTTTGAGTAAACCAAAACTGATTATGATAATGAGGAAGGAAAATGTTTCAGAGGGAGGAAAAGAAAAAAATAGACACATAAGAAAAGTGGGTCAGTTACTCAGTGGAAACTGTACAGGCAAAAACCAGACCCAGGCTTTCCAGTGATGTCTTAGCAGTATGCTTGTTTAGGAATGACAAATGTATTATGTTTACATTTAATTCCTTTAAGACAAACAAACACACAAAGAATCCTGACCCATGGCAAGATTTCATAAACAAATTTGAAAAGTATTTATCTAATAATTTCTTTATTTTACTCACCTGATAGGGGAAGTGGACCAAAACCTGCAGTGATAATTTGAAGTTTTGGAAGAGATTCAAAGACATTGTTCAAAATGAGTTCAAGGTTTCCTTACGGGGCAGTAAAACATGATCCAGCAGGATTAGAGACAGCCAAGTAGGGGATACCTTTGCCTAGCAAACACTGACCCAAGTCCAGAACATTCTCTGCATAGCAGCATTTTAAGGGGGGATCCCTAAAAAACCTAGGATTTCTTTATTAAAAATTGTGTATTTACTCTTACATGTTTAAACTTCAGCCACCTTCAAAGTATGCTCCATTTGATGCAATTCACCTGCTGAAATGCTTTTTCCACTGCTCAGAACAGTTTTTGAACTCATCAATTTTGATGCCTTTTAGTGCTTCTGCCATTTTTTTGTTTCACCTCTTTAAAATCATCTCTTTAACATTGGCAAAATGTTTCCTTTTGAGGACTTTTTTCATCTGGGAAGACTAAAAAAAGTTTTCTGGGGTGAGATCAGGTGAATAGGGAGAGTGGGGCATGGGTGGGGTCATGCTGTTATTGGTCAAAAACCGCTGAACACTCAATGTGGTGTGGGCAGTTGTGCTTGTAAATCACCCATTATGAAATGGTCAAACACGTTGAAAGAATCTCCAAAAAAAAATCACTGAAGCTGAATGCAGCCTCTCACAACAACACTAGCTGGTACACTGATGCTGATGGGTTCCTAGAACACTTACCTAGTTGGGTTTTTTTTTGATCTCCCCCTTGTATGTATATGAGTAGATCCTGGGTATAGTTCAGTCTTATTATGTAGAAAGGCTATCTCTAAGAAGCGCTCTTATACCAAGTGAAACCTAAGCCTTACCAAAAGGCAGGGTTTTTCTTTGTAAATGTTTACATTCATATTTTAATAAATAATACACATAAGGGATTTTATGTATCATCCAGACCCATGACTCCCAAATCTATATATCTGATCTGGACATCTTCTCTGTACTTCAATTGCCTATACAGTCCAATTTCCATAAATGTCTAACAGGCATCTTAACTTAACATTATGTCTCTCTAATGGGAACTTTATTTCCATCCCCAAATCTGTTCTTCCTCGAATTCTTTTCAGTTTTTTGGAGGGGGTCGGTGGTCTCACTCTGTTCCGCAGGCTGGAGTGCAGTGGCACGATCATGGCTCACTGCAGCCTCAAACTCCCAGGCTCTAGTGATCCTCCTGCCTCAGCCTCCCAAGTAGCTAGGGACTACAGAGGCATATCAACATACGTAGCTAATTTTTAAATTTTTTGTAGAGACAAGGTCTCTCTATGTTGCTTAGGCTGGTCTCAAACTCCTGGGCTCATGCAGTCTTTCCACCTTGGCCTCCCAGAATGAGTCACTCCCAGTTGATTCTTTCCAATTTTCATGGATGACTCCACCATTCACCTGATTTCTCTAAGATATATCCTTAATTTTTCTCTTTCCCTTATACCCTATATATATTTCATCACCAAGCTGTACCTTGTTTGAGCTATCTCCAGTATATATATATTTTTTTTCGAGTTGGAGTCTACTTTGTTGCTCAGGCTGGAGTGCAGTGGCACACTCACGGCCACCCCAGCATTGACCTGCTGGGCTCCGGCGATCCTTCCACCTCAGCCTTCCAAGTAGCCAGAACTACAGGTATGCGCTATATGCCCGGCTAATTTTTTTGGTTCATTGTAGAGACGAGGTCTCACCAAGTTGCCTGGGCTGGTCTCGAACCCTTGAGCTCAGGCAATCCACTTGCCTTGGCCTCCCAAAGTGCTGGGATTACAGGCTGAGCCACCGAGCCCAACCCCAGTACATATTTTGAATCCATCCACTTCTCTCTGCCTCTGTTACCACCATAATTATTTCTTTCCTGGGCATTTTCATTGTTATTCTTGCCTCCCTACTCTCAGTTTAATACAGAGCAACCACTGTGGTCTTTTTAAAACTTTAATCATCTCACTCCTCAGCTTGAAACCCTTTAAGCAGAGCAGTGATATGATCTGAGTCCTGATGACTGTCCCAGTTTCCACCTGGTTCATCATGCTTCACTGGCATTGTCTTAAAGAGACCAAGTCCACCTCTGGCCTTTTCTTCTGTTTCTTCTACATGGAATGCACTTCCCTCTATTGATTCACTCCTGTGCTTCTGGCCTTTGAGAGTCTATCTCCCGGTCACCCTCTCACGACCCAGTTATTTCCTTAAATAAATCATGGTCTGTAGTTATCATTTTTATTTTTTTTGGTCTCTCTTCTCCCTGTTAGAATGTAAGCTCTATGATCTTTCTGACTTGTTCACCAGTGTGTCACTTACAGCCTAGCACAGTGCCTGCCACGTAATGGGAGCTCAATCAATATTTGTTGAATGAATCATACAGCAGTTCAACTTGGATTATAATTTACATCTTCTAACTTGTATTTCAACACTTATTCTAACCCAAACAAAAATAGAGATAAGAAAAAAAATGATAGCCAGGTCCTCCATTTACTCCTCCAAAAAATGAGTGAGTGAGTGTGTGTGTGTGTGTGTGTGTGTGTGTGTGTGTGTGTGTACATTCACTCAATTCAATTCCAACATAAACACTGTTGGGTATTTAATGTGTATATGATACTGTACTACAAGTTGGGACTTCAACATAAATGAAAAGATACCTGCCTTTAAGATGAACAAAAGGACATGGGCAAATACACAACTAACTATAAGTCAGCTGTTGTGTTATAATAAACAAGCATGACTGAAGCATAAAGAATCAGACAGCTACCCTCAAGACAGAAACAAAAACATTCTTAGGAACCATCAATAATATGTTAATGAGACTGACCCCTCCAAGAACTTGATGGTAAGCTATGATTCTGTTTTCATTTTTCCAGCTGGTGTTTTTTAATATCCCCTTGATGGCTTACCTGTGTTGGAGCTTGTTGCAGCGGTGCTTTGGTCACAACTTCAGATCTCATCTCCATCAAGGAAAATACTTGAAAATTATACCTGTTTATCTACTTATGATACTGCTGTACATCTGGCAGGTGTATTCCTGTTTCTTTCTTTATGTAACATATGGCTTCCTCGCTTTTTTATTCTCCCCTTTGCGGACCTGGTTGACATTGCTGACACTTGTCCTCATTCATTGTGTGTGGACACTGAACTCTGCCAAGTTTGGAACCTTCATGGTGCAGTTAAAAAGCCACCTGAGCTCCTGAAGACCTTGTCTGACTACTGGCAATTGGGCAGAAGTCCAGCCTCCACGTGTAGCCCAGGCTCCTGCCCAAGTAGCAGGTGAAAGGCCAATATTGGTGGGTTAGCTTCAGGCAGCCGCTATTTCTTAAATGCCTGGTTGTTGGAGGGGTTAACCACTACTGATTTCTGCAGAATGGACTATAGAAACGTCTTTAAATAATGCCTTGATTCCTTTTTACCCTAAGCAGGCAAAGGGTTGTTTTACCTCTGTGGAGAGAAATTCCTAATCTAGGAGATCCACAGGGCAGGGGTATGGGAGTATCTGAGGCCAAGTGAATTTTTTAGGGTCACCCATGTAAAGTAACAGCGCCACGTCTGGTACTCAGCAGCTGTCAAGGGTGTAATTTTAGGGGCAGGGAACCTGTGCAGACTTGAACCTGACCCTGACTATCACTGAGATATTAGTTCCCAGGCCTGTTTTCTTACAGTATTATGAACTCTCTGCTTCCTTAATCGGAGATGTTTCAAATAATCAAATAAATGAATGAATGATGAATAAGAACTATCATGGGCCTGAACTTTGTGTGGCCCAGGCTCTGAAAATGGAAGGTATATTGTTGGATCTTGGGGAAGCGATGGGGCGTGGCCAGGCCTCTGGGGGCGGGAGGAGGCGCGGCTCGTCTCTCGGGAGGGAGGGGTGTGGCCAACTGCCGGGACTGGAGGGTGTGGCCGGAACTCTGGGGCGGGGCGGGCCCGGACGGCTTATTGCCGGAAACGAGTCGCGTCTGTGGATCGGAGCTGGAGCGGGTGTCGCAGTGCGGCTTAGGCCCGGGAGGCGGTGGCGTTTGTGTGCGGGCTCCGTCGAACCGCTAAGATGGCGAGCACAGCTACATCCGCAGCAGCAGTGCCCACCCTGGCTTCGCCTGTGGAGCAGCTCCGGCACTTGGCAGCGGAACTGCGGTTGCTCCTGCCCCGAGTGCGTGGTGAGCTGACCCAGCTGGGACCCGCAGCGGCAGGGGCGGGCTCAGGAGGTGGGGAGGCCAGGCTGGGGCGGCGGCGGGGCCCGGGCTCGGCCGGGAGTGGGGCTTCGCTTAACCTTAGCTTTTCCTTTCGCCGCCGTTCGGCCTCCACATGCCACACTCGGAAGTCGGCGAAGCCCGGGAGACCACCCAGGAATTTAATCGGGAGATATTTTGGAGAAGACTTAGTGAGTGCCTTTCCTGTTGGGGATCCCCAGCCCTCACCTCTTCCAGCGTCCCGACCCCCTTGCTCTCCCGCCTTCCCTTGGGAGGTGACTGCCCTTCCCCGCTGCACTCTCTGTGTGGGACACCTCACCTTACCCGTCCTCAGCACTTGAGAGGTTGAAATATAAAACATACGGCCAGGCGCGGTGGCTCATAGGCGCGGTGGCCTATAATCCCAGCACTTTGGGAGGCCGAGGTGAGAGGATTGCCTGAGCCCACGGGTTCGAGGCCAGCCTGTGCAACTTGGCGAGCCCTCATTTCTACAATAAACCAAAAATTAGCCGGGCGTGGTGGCGCGTGCTTGTAGTTCCAGCTACTTGGAAGGCTGAGTCGGAAGGATCTCCTGAGCCCAGCAGGTCGAGGCTGCGGTGGCCGTGAGCGTGCCACTGTACTCCTCCAGCCTGGGCGACAGAGAGAGACTCCAACTCAAAAAAAAAAAAAAAAAAAAAAGAAAGAAATATAAGACATGGATATTCGGAGGTGTTTTGAGACGTCTTGCCTAGTAAAGGTGAAGAGGGGAAACATTATCTTCAAAGTTTGTACCTCAGCTACATCCTTAACCCCTTGGCATTAATACATTGGTACCTGCCTCCTCCTCTGCCACCTCCCAGATGAGGCAGCTGTTAAAGTGTCGAGGGAAGCCACGACTCTGACCAAAGTCTTCTCTGGACCTCAACTGCCATCTGCACAGGTGGGCTTCAGTTTCCTGGAATCCTTGTGCTACCTGGTTATTCCTTAGCGATAGTACTCTGATTTTCTTTCCACCTTTTACACTCATGCCAGAAGATTTATTTTCTTTATCTGTCAAATAAGATTGCAGTTCTTACATCACAGGATTGTTGTGAAGACTAAATTGCTAGGTGCACTTCCTGGCATGGAGTAGGCAGGTCTTATAAATATTGGTTCAATCTGAAGTTAACCCTGGTTATTTTCTTTCTCATACTTTTTTTAAGCACTTGTTACTTGGTAGTTGTTTTCACATACTATGTCCGTCTGACAGATGAGCAGGCAGGCTCAGAGGCTCAGGTTAAGATAAAAAAGCAGTGGAGCTAGAATTCAAGTTAAGGTCTATCTGATGTCTAAGTTACACCTCTTCTACTACATAATACATTTAAAAATATTGAACTATTTAAAAATATTTAATCAGTAATATGTAACATATGTAGATAGTATAAAATTCAAAAGCTATCAAAGCTAAGTGTGCTAAAAAGTTTATCTTCACCCAGTTCTTCATTTTCGTTTGTCCTCCCCAGTTCCTTTTGTATTTCATATACATCTTATGCATATATTGATTAATGTACATTTATATGTACATGTCTGCTTCTTTTTACACAAATGATAAGATACCATAAACACTTGTGGATTTTCCTTTTTAAAAAATTAACAATATATCTTGGAAATTCTTAGCAGCACATATAAAGATACTCATTTCTTTGTAATTACTGCCTGGTATTCAATAGAATGAATATAAACATAATTTAACCAATACTCTTTGTGGATATTTAAGCTGTTTCCAACTTGTAACTATTGTAAACAGTGCTGTGGTGAATTGTCTAATATAATCTTTGTGTTCCTATGCATAGTAGAAAAAAATTCCCAGAAGTGAAATTGCTAAAAAAAAGAATTTGTGCATTTAAAATCTTTATTATAAAACTAATGAAAGTAAAAATGTTGGCTGTCACCAAGCATGCTCTATGCTCAGTTGTTCCAGAGCTGTGTATCCTTAATTTGGAAGATGATGATGATGATGTTGATGATTGAATCAGAGTCTCACTGTCACTCAGGGCTACCACAGCCTTGACCAGCCGGGCTCAGGCTGTCCTTCTGCCTCAGCCTTCCAAGTAGCTGGAACTTCAGGTGCATGCTACCATGCCTGGTTAATATTTTGATTTAATGTCGAGACAGGTTTTTGCCAAGTTGCCTAGACTGGTCTTGAACCCCTGGGCTCAGGCAATCCTTTTGCTTCTGCCTTCCAAAGTTCTGGGGTTACAGGTGTGAGCCATTGCGCCCGGCATAGTATATAATGAATATAAGGCATATTCATTGCCTTATTTGATTTTCATAGTAGTTTCAATCTCTTTCTCAATCTGTATATCCAGATGTTTTGAAATGATATAAATTTCCTTTTGCTGCATAAACATACAGTGATAAACTCTCCTTCTACATACCTTAGAGATTTGTGATGAGGAAACAAGAGATGAACAGTATAAGAACACTTTAAAAGATACTTGGGAAAAAAGTCTATTTCAAAAAGACTAGTAATATTACTTTATTTTTCTTATCTGCTGACTCCTTTCTGCTGACTCCACATACACTTAGGACTTGCTGCTGAAACTGACGGCAAGTAAGACACCATGAGGAGGCAGCATAGAGCTAATTTTCTGAACATGCTTAGGACAGTAGTTTCACTCAGATGAAAAATTAGAATTAGATTTTATCTGAATATATATTTATATATATATTTGAATCACAATTTCCTTCATAAGATCTGAGCAATTTAGTTCTACAGAAAGATGATTTAGGTTTTTTAATTCCAATCTATATGGACTGATAACACTTTTATAACTTTACAAAATTATGTGTTTGGATGTTGAAGCAATATCTGATTGCTATAAAAGTTTCTAAATACTTGCTTTCTATCACTGTACTTATCCTAGAGTATTAACAGTTTGTGGACTGGCACTAACCTGTACCACTTTTTGCATAGCACTGGCTTAGAATTTAGCAGAGAAGTGGGGATAAGGAAGATGAGAAAGCCAGTGACCACTTAGAAGGAAAATAGACAACATTGGGCATTGTTGAGTCCATACTAATTACCTTCATTTACATACTGTGATTATGTTAGAGAGCGACCTGCTTGATGTAATACAGACTCTGGCAAACATTTCTGTAAAGGGCCATATAGTAAATATTTTAGACTTTGCTGGCCCAACTACCCAACTTTTGTCCCTTGTTGTACGAACACAACTGTAGAGTATATGTAAACCAGGGAACTTGGCTGTGTGCCTGTTCTTTATTTATAAAAACTGGCAATGGGCCTGATGTTACCTGTTTGTCAACTCCTGGTCTAAGATATGGTGAATATTTCATGGCGGATTATTAATATCTTGGAATATACAGTATCAGGAATAAAATTTTCCTGTTGTTTCTTAATGGTTTATTGAGTTGTAAACCCAGTGTCATATGTACAGCTGTCTTCTGTTTGTTATGTGATGAGTATAGCAGGCCTAACTCATACTAGAACTAGAAAATACTTGATGATGCTGTAGAGGTGTCTTCTGCAGTCTTCAACAGTAGATGGATTGACCATGTTGATCTAATCAATTTTCTTATTTCATTCTGAAATTGGTCCATCACCTCATAGGAATCCCAGAGGTTCTGTGAACAGGTCCATGCTGCCATCAAGGAAATTACTGCAGTATACTATTCGCTTCCGAAGGATCAGGGTAAGCCACTACATACACATAAGTATTATGTTTACAGGGTAGATCTTTGTAATATGAGTTATAACCTGAGACTTTTACCTTTCCCAACTTGAGCATGTAACTTTCTTCCATATAACACAGTCAAGGAGCCGGGCTCGGTGGCTCAGCCTGTAATCCCGTGTCTTTGGGAGGCTGAGGTGAGTGAATTGCTTGAGCCCGTGGGTTCGAGACCCGCCTGGGCAGCGAGATCTCATCTCTACAATAAATCAAAAAATCAGCTGGGCGTGGTGACGCATGCCTGTAATTCTGGCTACTCGGAAGGCTGAGGCGGAAGGATCGCCGGAGCCCAGCAGGCCGAGGCTGCGGTGGCCGGGAGCAGCCACTGCACTCCAGTCTGGGTGACAGAGTGAGACTCCGACTCAAAAAAAAAAAACAAAAAACACAGTCAAGGATAATTTTATAATGTAAGTGGCCTCTATAAATAAGCCATTATGCTAAGATACAGGTGCTTTGTTCCTGTGATTTTCCATCTCCCCTGCCTTGCCTGACTCTTAAGGTTTTTGATTCACTGGTTTTTCCCTCTCTAACCCATTCTAACCACTACAAATGCTGGCCTGGTCTCAGCCCTATAGCCAGGACCAGACCATCTTTACTCTTTTCTACCCATATTGCATCATACTCTGTTTCTGAGCACCTTCATAGGTTAAGTGGCCTCCAACCCTACCTGGAGATTCATGCCTTGATTACAAGCATGCCAAAATTATAACTGAATACATGTCAGGGATCTTCAAGTTTACTCAAATGGTTTAAACTTCAAGTGTTTCATTTAAAATTGTCAAGGAATTACTGCCTTAATACTGTCATAGAAAGATTGTGTTCCAGATCTTTTATTTTGGAGAATAGCACTAAGGAATGGTGGAAAGGGCAAGAAAATGACATGAGGATATAAATGAGACCTGAGTTTTGTGTTGACACTTCAGTGAAAGCATACATCACTTAACACTTCTGTAGTGCTCAGACTCAGGAAAGCAAATGGTGACTACTGAAAAGAAGACCAGGCTGCTTACTCTTTGGGTTTGACCACAGGAATCACCTTGAGAAAGCTGGTGCGGGGTGCCGCTCTGGACATTGTGGATGGCATGGCTCAGCTCGTGGAAGTACTTTCCAGCACTCCAGCTCAGAGGTAGTGATGCCACAGTCTGGGTTATCAGTTGTTAAGGTTCCTTGTCTCAAGAGGGAAAAGCTCATTTTGACAACAAATTTATTGGTAGTTGAGAATACTAACCAGCAGGCAGGAGCTTTTTAGGAGACAGAATGCAAGGTTATTGATATATCCTTACTGATTCCTTTCCCCAGCCCTGAGAACAATGACCTTATTTCCTGCAACAGTGTCTGGGTTGCGTGCGAGCAGGTGCCTCGGATACCAAGAGGTGGGTGAGAGTGGATAGTGGGTCTTTCTGACCAAAGCTTCCAACTTTGTATTTTAATGTATGTATTTTAATTTATATAAAGAGTTGAGTGAAACATGCATATTTATCACCAACATTAATAGATAGGTACTAATACTCTTTGTCGTTCTCTAGTTCTCACACTTCTAGTTTCAAACTCCCCTCTTGCTATGGCTCTGTCTCCTGTTGAACAGCTATGGTTTATTTTCCTAGTCCTGCCCTGAGAGCAGTACTGTGGAGCATGCTGAAGCAGTGAGGTAGTCCAAAACAGTGGTTGTCCAAGAGGGCCATAATGAGAAACATCATGTGACCATTTTATTTCTTGTTGTGGTGAATAAAGAAAAGTTTTTAACTCACTGGGTACTAGGGGACATAGTGAGAAGAATTTTACATAAAACCTTGTCAGCTGTCCTTGGCACTCCCATCAATAGGAACAATGTGGTTACCCTTTGCAGTCTTAAGAGAATTGTTAAGCACTAATTCTAGTGCTTCTGATTTTTCACTCATAGATAATAAAGCTGCAGCTCTTTTAATGCTGACGAAGAGTGTAGATTTTGTGAAGGATGCACATGAAGAAATGGAGCAGGTGAGGGGACTTCTGTTTTTGCTGATCGTCAGAATGCAACTCCATGACTAGTAGATTAGAATTGATTATAAAAAGAGATATCCGTAGCACTGATTATTGACTAAGCCCCATTATCACTACTGTCCACTTTATTCCATCTCCCTGAGAACAGGGTTTATAAAGTGATTCAACTGTGTAGCTGTTAATGAAGTGACTGACTGAGGTTTTGGGGCAACTTAGATCTGCTGCTAAAAGCATAATAGGCTTTTTTTTTTTTTTTTTTTGCATTCACCTATATCTTGTTATGTCTTAGGCTGTGGAAGAATGTGACCCTTACTGTGGCCTATTGAATGACACTGGGGAGGACAACTCTGAAAACCACAATGATGACGATGATGTGTTGGGGTTTCCAAGCAATCAGGACTTATACTGGTCAGAGGAAGATCAAGAGCTCATAGTCCCATGCCTTGCACTGGTGAGAGCATCCAAAGCCTGTCTGAAGAAAATCCGGATCTTAGTGGCAGAGAATGGGAAGAAGGATCAGGTAGCCCAGCTGGATGATATTGTGGATATTTCTGATGAAGTTAGCCCCAGGTGAGTGTGATCCCATTTTAAACATCTGAGCAGCAGCAGCTTTCTGATCTCAGCTTCTGCTGTCACCCCAAGATTTTTCCCCAACTTTTTATATTTTGAAATGTTTCAAACCTACAGGAAATTTGAAAAAGTACTTCAGTGAACACCCCTACATTCTTGATTTAGAGTCAACCATTGTTCACATTTTTTTCATGTATTGGCTTATTTCTCTATTGATAGATATTCCATATTTATTCTTAAACCTTCTGAGAGTAAATTATAGACATCAATGACACTGCACCCCTAAGTAGTTCAGCATGTATCTCCTAAGAACACACCATTATTATCTTATTCTTATTATCACATCCAAGAAATGTAACATTAAATACAATGATATTATCTAATATTCAAATTTTTCCAGTTGTCTCTAAAATAAATATTTTATATAAATCCAGGATTCTGACAAGGTCTCACATTTGTATTTAGTTATCATCTCTTTAGTCTCTTGAAATCTAGAACAGTTCTTGTCCTTTTGAGGTTTGTTTTTTTTTTTAATCAACATTTTAAAAATTAACTAGATCAGTTGTCTTGTAATCTTTCCAACAATCTGGATTCGTGTGATTGTTTTGTCATTTTTGGCAAGAATATCATGTAGTTGAATGTTTTATACTTTCAATACATCATATTAGGGTGGCACATGATGTTGGTTTGTCCCATTATTGGTGGTACTGAATTTGATCACTTGGTTAAAGTGGTGCCCACTTTAGTAAAGGTACATTTTACCCAACAGTTTTAGCTTCCATTGATGAACCATGTTCTTCAGCTATTATACTGATGGTTTCACATAATCACATTTTTGACTGAATTAATCATACCATATCCTATGAACCAAGGGAATTATTCCCCCCAGCTTCCTACTGAAATGGAGTATGTACATTTCAGTAAATACTGGTTGAATTCATTCTGTATTAGTTGCCTAGTTGCTGAGTTTCAAAACCTGGTAGACTTTTCCGGAACAGTTTGTAGCTAGTCACATATGTAGTTGTACAGTAGCAACAACCTAGTTGAGATTTGTTCCCCTTTTTTGTTAATAGTTATTTTTGCTTTCTGCTCTTAGTGTGGATGATTTGGCTCTGAGCATATATCCACCCATGTGCCACCTGACTGTGCGTATCAATGTAAGTACTGGCTTTGAGGAGTAGTTACAGACCTAATGAGTAGAACTTCACTTACTGTTTCCTCTAAGCTATAGGGTACATATTTATTTATCACATTTGTATGCAAGTACAGCAGTAATGTCACAGTTCTTGCATGTGCTTGTGCTTGATAAATGTTTGCTGAAGTTGAATTACAATAACCATGAACTTTGGTAGTTCTCTCTTCCATAACCACTTTGGTAATCATTTAAAAACACCTAAAGACCATAGAAAATGCTGCTTTGAAAACAAGGTTTTGATTATATAGTGCTTTAGGAACCTCTCAGCCTAAAGTCACAAGTTTCTAATTTCTAGTCTAAGGCAGAAATAAGTATTCCAGAACATACTCTGTTCTAATATAAACACATTGTGTGATTTAGCCATGAAGGGTCAAGCTCTTTATAAAGATCTGATTTTATTGCATTCTTTCAAGTGCTGTGCTCTTTACTAGAGAGAGTTCTGTTTTCTTGTTTTTATAAAATCAAGTTTTAATCTAATGTTATTAGAAAGAGCAGTTAAATTTCCATATGGCTTATATTTTACTACCACATTGACACATCTGTGTCAATTCTAATAATAATTGATAAATTAGATAGTGGAAATGAGATTCATCAAATGTATCTTCATGATGTACAAACACCTTGAAGTAGAATAGAATCTTTTTGGGAATTAACATTGTATTTTGGCATTACCTTTTAAAAATTGACTTTCTAAGAAATAAATATCTTTAGTGATATACCTTGTCAGCTGCTACATAATATCTACTGTAGCAGTTGAAAAATGTGTGCTATGTATGTGTCTTATTTTATATTGATGGCATATATACATCCCATGTTAAAACTTATTAAAATGTTATGGCAATGGTATTAGTAAGATTTTGCTAAATAGAAAATAACCCATAATCCTGCTACCCTAACCTAATCAGCATTTTTGTTATTGCATAGTTCCTTCAAGTTTCCTTTTTTTTAGTCAAGGTCTCATTCTAACACCCAGGCTGGAGTGTAGTGGCACAATCACAGTTCACCTCAGTCTTGACTTCCAGGGCTCAAGGGATCTCTCCCCTCAGCCTTCCAAGTAGCTGGGACTATAGGTCCATGCCACCACCCCACCACTTGTAGCTTATTTTTTTTTTAACTTTTTTTGTAGAGATGAGATCTCTTCATGTTGCCTTGCCTAGGCTGGTCTTGAACTCCTGAACTCGAGCAGTCTTCCCACCTCAGCCTCTCAAAGTGCTGGGATTACAGGCATGAGCCACTATGCCTAGACTTGAATGATTTTTTATTATTTAGGCCTTTTAAAATATTAGTGCTCTCCTTTCCTTTTCACAGTAGGGCTCAGGGTGAATGACTTTTGTGTTTCTTTTCTAGTCTGCGAAACTTGTATCTGTTTTAAAGAAGGCACTTGAAATTACAAAGTAAGTATGCGCACTTCTTCTCAGATACCTTTTTGAAAATAAAACTGAATTCCTGTCCAGTCATTCTCAACTCTCAAGCCCCCATTGCAAAGAGTGAGAAAGGGTAGGTGAGGAATTTTTTTTCAACTTCAGTTATGGAGTGGCTGAGTTTCTGTAAAGAAGCTTGCCATTTGTTACTATAGTTTCCTCTGTGCTCCCTCTTGAGGATATCTTCCCTTAACACTATAATAAATTTAACTTCTTTTTTCCCTATTGCATTTACAGAGCAAGTCATGTGACCCCTCAGCCAGAAGATAGTTGGATCCCTTTACTTGTTAATGCCATTGATCACTGCATGAACAGAATCAAGGAATTCACTCAGAGTGAACTTGAACTATGAGTTTTTGGGCTTGTTTGTCCTCTCCTCTCTTCTTCTCTCACTATCATAGCCAGGCTCTGATGTCTACTTTTAAAATGGAGCTAGAACACTTGCTGGATTGAAAGGGGGTTCATGTCTGTCTTTAACGAGATAATATTACCAAAGATTGTTCGTTAGGCCAGACTGGCAATTATTTATAAACCATGTGTGAGTATAATATATATTTTTCTGTGCTAGATAAAAAAATAACTGCATGAGTTTATCTTCCTGAATTGCTTCTCAGATCCCTAGGGCAGCTGCCTTATTCCTTATTTGCAATAAAGTATATTGTTTTCATTGTTAAAGATGCTGATGATCTCAATAAAATGCTAACCTACCAGTGATTAAATGAGTACCCTTTCAGAGTTTCTTCCTACCAGAAATACAGTGAGTTGACACAAGAACATTATTTTCACTTGGGTTTATAGGTCTAAAGATCCGATTCTCATCAGAAGTATATTTAAAACAGAAACATTTGACTTTAATTTATTTATAAAAGATAACTTCAAAGCCCCTCTTAGTACGTCACCAATTATATACTAGTATTCTTATCAGTAAGTCCTTCTGAATATCATCTCAGGTTACTCCATGCTTCCAAAATAGATTTGTATTGATATTGAGCTCATTTGATGTGTTTGTCGACCTTATTGAATAAAATTTTTTAATACATACCTATATTGTTCTCTATTACATGTGTCCCCAAATGTAAAAACCAAATTTTTATAAATCAAAATTTTTTTAATGTATAAGAGAGTTTATGTAATTTTAAGGGCCTTTTCAGTTTAGCTATCACCACTTAGTTAGACTTTTGCATCAGTCTAGAAGATTACACATTGAAAAGCAGACTGAGCCTGAATTAGGCCTTATGCGTGTACTATAGGTCACCACCACTTCAAATGCCAGTCCTCCTCTCTCTATAGCTGCAGATCACCACATCTGCCTTTCTGATCTCATTAGGTATAATTAGCAACAGCAGTCATTCTTTTGAGTGACTAGTGCATCTTGGAGTTGAAATTCCTCAAGCCAAATTAGTTTCACTTTTTTAAGAGTATTAAATGATTTTATTATAAAACGTCAGCCATCTGTTGACCATTCACTTTTCTAAAAAACACCAACATGGACATAAAATAAACACACGGAGACTCACTAGCCCTGCAGGACAAGAAGAACCTGGATAGGGAACCTGCAAATGTCCTTCCTCACACTCAAGTCTGACTTCTTCACACTAGGATTTCGTGTTTTGTTTCTCTTTCAAGGGAGAGGAAACTGGCTAGAAGATGCATGTCCAAGTTCACAACCACCTAAAACCAGCTGATCCTGATGGCTTGTACATTGTAGGAACTCAGAAACAGCATCTCAAATAAGCTCTGCCAAATGCCTGCTTCCCAGCTAACCTTTGTTGCCACAGTTCTTTGAAATAATCTTTGGGACAGATCACATTCTTTCACTGCAGCTATTGCTTGTCCCATAGCACAAATCCTGAAGTCCACACACAGTCTTCATATTCAAGTATAAGAGTCTGTTTTAGGAAAAGCCCAGGTTGCTGTAGTGTTTCTTTATCTCTCAGTAGTATTTACGGGTATCACACCCTTGGATAGGCTGGTCAAACAGCAGCACTATACTGGAGGTACCACGGTCAACTTCCCCCACTCCAGACTTGCTTCTGTTCGATCCAGACACTGCCCATAGTCAGGCTAAAATCCTGAAATCAGTGATGACCTTGGCCTATCTTTATTCTGAAGCTGTACTCTTATGTAACCAAACCTCTTCTTCACCATTAATTAAATGGAGCTCTCAAAAGGTGCCAGACATATTCTTAGGAAGCATCCTGGGATGAAGCTGGAAGGTCCTGGCCTTCGGGCTCTGGAGGCGGTGGTGGCACAGCTGCTTTTTTCTGGGCCGCCAGGAACTCATGAATTGCTCGTTCTATTTGTGGCCTGAAGATGTGGTTGAGCTTTGGATCTACCACCTGAGAAATGATCCTGTCAACTCCCGCCTCCAACATCCCTGACCTTGTGCTGATGGCCTTTTCAAAAGCTGTACATTCTGCTTATTTACTGAACCACACTTTGCCTCAGACCATTTCGCAACTGGTTTTTGTTCATCGTAGGATTCCATTCCTGCTTGTCCAGATGTGTTGACACAAAATTATCCACTTTCTGCCTCAGATTTTGGTAAACTGGCTTGGTGTCCACGTCGGCCAGGCAGTCCCGGCGGAAGCTGTCAAACAGCCCCCGGCTCTTGAGCTGCTCCACGTTGAGAGCGATGAGCTGCGGGTCGCCGGGAGGCAGCGAGGCCCACGGCGCCCGTCCCCCTGCCGCCGCCGCCGTCCGCCATGGCTGCGCCCCAGGCCCACAAGGGAGACCGAATACAGTCGTCTCTCCAGGACAGAGGGCCCGGGTCGTGTAGAGGCGGCAGAAAGGGAGAAGGGCCCCAAGGAGGCGGGGGCAGAGGCGGCCGGGGCGGCTGTCAGTTTCACTTTTTAAAAGTGCCATTCTATACTTTTATCAAGTGTCATTACGAGACGGAACTAAAATCAAACTGATATGGTGCCAAAGTAACAAATATGTAAACCAAGAAATCATAACTTTGTACAGAAAGAGCCTAGTTCATTTATCCTTTCTTATAGAGCCAATGTTTATATACTTGATACTTTATTTCTATTTCTCTACTGGACCAAATTCATGTTATTAACATCAGACTTTAATGGTGGGATACTTAATGAATATAGAACTCTAATAAAGATTTATCTATAGGTAAATAGTTCTGATCTCAACTATAACTTTGTTTAGTAATAGTTGAATCTTTAGTGATAACGGCTAGGGATAGAACAGATCGATGTAATTTGAGGATTACCTTAAAATTCCATTTTTGGCTAATATTGTCCCACTTAATCAAAAATATAAGAATGATGGAAATGTTAGATCCTTTCCCATAACTATAAGTTAATGGATGTGTTAATGAACCGTAAAATGGTTGTGAAAAATCCTGAACTCCCAAAATTTAAATTATACTCTGAAAAGATATCAGAACACCTTTTTCTTTTCTTTTTTTTTGTGTCAGAGTCGCACTCTGTCACCCAGGCTGGTGTGCAGTGGCATGTTCATGGCCACCACAGCCTGCACCTGCTGGGCTCAGGCGATCCTTTCACCTCATCCTTCCAAGTAGCCAGAACTACACGTGCGCTCTACCATGCCAGGCTAATTTTTGATTTATTGTAGACACAAGGTCTCACCAAGTTGCCCAGGCTGGTCTTGAACCCGCAAGCTCAGGTAATCAGCTTGCCTCAGCCTCCCAAAGTGCTGGGATTACAGGCTAAGCCACCAAGCCTGGCCCTAATTTTTTTATTTTTTGTTGAGACAAAGTCTCACCAAGTTGCCTGAGCTCAGGCAATCCTCTCTCCTCAACCTCCCAAAGTGCTGGGATTACAGGTGTGAGCCACTGCACCCAGTCCTGAACACCTTTTCAAAAAATCTAAATATACTTTGAAAAAGGTATCTTTTCAAAGGCTTCCTTTTGTCACTATTAGTTTCTATTCCAAGACAACTAGTTTTCATTGCTGCCTTAACCTGGGGTAACAGAAATAAATGTCTTATCTATTGATGTCTGGGAGTCTGGTTTTGTTATTGGTCACTCTTCTGCTCAACCTGAATAGAGACTCATTTGTCTGATAAACACAGTGTTACAGTTTAGATATTTGACCTTCCAAACCTCATGTTGACCCCCAGTGTTGGAGGTGGGCCTAATGGGAGGTGTTTGGGTCATGGGAGCAGACCCCTCATGAATGACTTGATACAGGGTAATGAGTGCATTCTCTTGAGAGCTGGTAGTTAACAAGCCTGACACCCCACTCCCCCACTCTTCTTTCTTCTCTTGCCACAGGATCTCTCCACACCCTGTTTCCCCTTTGCCCTCTGCCATGAGTTGATGCAACCTGAGTGTCTCACCAGAAGCACATGCTGGCACCATGCTTTTTGTATAACCTGTAGAACTGTGAGCCAAAAAACAAACAAACAAACAAACAAACAAAAACCTCTTTATAAACTACCCAGCCACAGGTATTCCTTTATAGCAACACAAATGACTGAGACACAGATTTTCTCTTCCTAGCACATGTTTCGTTTTAAGAGTTGCTTGGGGAGAGTGGTAATAGAGCTGGAAGTTTAGGCTGAACGTTCAGGGGCTACCACAGTGACACTTCTGTAGTTTGTTAGGTTCTGGAACATGTTGCAGTCCATTTCCACAGTGAGCCTCTGGAGCCCCACATGTGTTGGTGTGAACTGGAACTGGGTGCACATTGCATTTCCAGGCCGTACTGACCCTAATCTGAAAAAGGAAAAGACAGGTGCTATTTCTATCCCAGGTTCATTGCTCTGGTGGTCCCGGTGACTTTGATCCTTCCTTGCTTGACAGGTGGACCATGCAGAAATAAACATCTAAATACCTTGTCGTTAAAATAGAGATGGCTATGAGGGGCTAGAAGAGAGGAGCCTCCCTATGCTGAGCAACTGCATGGTCGAGAAGAGACACATCCTAAGGGCTTCCAAGGTGTGTTGGTTGTTCCTATTTTTCATCTGTGACTTCAGTCACGTTAATAGTACGGGGTATATTACAGTCTCGGTAATAATACGGGGTATATTTGGATAGACTATAGTTTTGGGACCCTTCTAATTGCGAGGTGCAGAGGATGTAGCAGGCATATTGTAAATATGTCAGCAGATGACATTTAGAGTCCTATCAGCAACCTCCTGGCCTGTCTGTAGACTTTCCTTGGGTGACTGAGGGAATGATGCAGATTTCCTTTGAGGAGCTTTGCCTCACAATTGATCTGGGAGACCACAAAAGTCTGGTTAAATGTTGACAGTCCCTCCTCTTGACTTACAAGAGTGATTCATTGAGTTTCATGAGGCTGAGGCAGTGGCACAATAACCTGCCAGGGACCTCAGGGATGGTATGAGTAAGTATCTTGAACTTTAAACGGTAAACTGTATACTGTTTATTCAACTAAGGATACGCTAGACATAATGAAAGATTTTGCAACATCTAAAACCAACAAGCGATTAACACCTAGACTATGCAGGGAACTCCTACAAATCTCCAAGAAAAAAGGGCATTAACACCAAAAGAAAAGTGAGCAGAGATAAGGACAAGCTATCTATAAAGGAGGAAATGGAAAAGGCTAACGAACATATGAAGTTTCAAATTTAAAAAATACTAAGCCATTACTTTATTTCTATTAGACTGGAAGAAAACAGAAAGCTGGGTGTTGCCAGAAGTGAAGGAGAGGTAGGATTATAGAAACTCTCAGGCACTGCTGAAAGGGGTATAGACTTCTGCAAACAAAACGGACAGTGCCTGGTCAAACTAGGTCTCATCCTATGGCTCAACAATTCCTTTCTTAGATATATATATCCCCTGACTCCACCAAAATTTCAGATAAGTAATAAGGAGAACTGTGAGAGGATGTTCACTGAAACATTATTTGTGGTGTCAGAGAGTTGGAAGCACTCTGGTGTCCACCATTGTGGGGCAGAATGGTAGGAAGCAGTGGATGTACACAGTGGAATATTGTACAGCAGGAAACTTAGGAATGCAGTTCTCAGTGAAAAGCAAGAAAAACAATTAGACGTAACATTTATATCAGTAAAAATACAGCAACAGCACACATTTTACACATACTAATGAAGAGGATTGAAGAATGATGGTGGGAATGGAAAGGAAAGGAAATAAATAAAATGGTATTTTGTGGTGGTGACTAGTAGAATGCCGTCTACACTAAGAGGGTGTCTACCCTCCCTTCAGTACTCTCCAGTACCCGGTCCTAATCCCCTCACCTGCATTCGCCAGCAATCCCTAGGCTCTCCCTGCAAGTCCAGGGCAGCAACCAGGGGGTCAAGTGGGTGTTCAAGGGGCCCACACAGCCTCCCCCACCCCTGTGGCCCTGTAGACATGGTGGTCTCAGGATAAGAGGCCATTTGGTAGCCCTAATACTTTAGTTCAACTTCTGGGGGTATTTGCTCTGTCTGCAAGACACAGTAAAGAGACAGTCATTAATTTGGGGCCCATGCCTTCCTGAGCAGTTGAGACGTTTCAGTGGAATGAGAAGCTTGCAGTCTCTTACCTGTAGCTCCTCTCTCTGTGAATGAGCCCTCTGCCAAGGATGGAGATCACACAGTCCTTCATGGGGGCATTCAGGGAGTTATGGATGCTGACTGAGGCCATGAGAGGTTGATATTGCTCTGCTTTCTCTGGCATCTATAGGAAGAGGCAACACCTGGTGTGAATGCCAAGGGCACAGAGCTGCAGTCATACCTTCCCCTCTTGTGCACTCCTGTGCCTTCTTCAGTTGTCTCATCTCTACAACTGGACCCATACTCTACGGTTGCCTTCTTTACCACTCTAGCTGCTCTTCTTGCATTTACTCTCACCCTTGGTCCTTCACTGACCATCTCTGATGGTGCCTCTCCTCTACTTAGAAACCTTGGAGGGTTTCCCTTTGGAATTCTGCTGAATTTGCATTCAGGGTCCTTCATGGTCTCCCCTCACCCACCTCTCCAACCTGGGCTGTTGTTTGCTTGACTAAACAACAGCCCAGCCACATCTAGGACTTCTCCATCCCCAGCACACCCTCAGTCTCTCCTCCTTTGTATCTCTTTTCTCCTTTTCTTCTGCCTTCAGAGGTAGGGGCTTCTGCTACCTCTGTAATGACAGCGGACCGATTTTTCAAGGCTCAGCATAAGTGTCACCTCCTTTATAAAGTCATCTCCAAACATACCAGCTGGAATGAATCCCCCTTGCTCCACTTATCACATAGTAACTTTGTACCTCTTTTAAAACACATCTTTTAAAACACGTACATGAAGGCCAAATGTATTTCCCTCATCAAACTATAACCTTCTTGAGGGCAGGGACCAGACCTCATTCTTTTTGGCTAGAATAAACATGTAGAAATAAGGTTGGGCCAAGAGCCACGAGCCTCTAGATCGTGGGCATGTTACTCTCTAGGATTCAGTTTCCTCATCTGAATAATGGGAACAGTTCCACCTCACAGGACATTTTTTTCTTTTTTTTTGAGTTGGAGTCTTACTCCATTGCCCAGGCTGGAGTACAGCAGCACACTCATGGCCACCCCAGGATCCTTCCGCCTCATCCTTCCAAGTAGCTGGAACTGCAGGTATGCGCTACCATGACCAGCTAATTTTTGATTTATTGTAGAAACGAAGTCTTGCCAATTTGCCTCGACTGGTCTCAAACCCGTGGGCTCAGGCAATCCGCTCGCCTTGGCCTCCCAAAGTGCTGGGATTACAGACTGAGCCACCAAGCCCCGCCTCACAGGACTTTTAAAGAAATAAAAGAGGTGAGCTCTGGCATATCTATAATGTGCTAAATAAACACTGGCTATTATTATTCCTGTAAGTAGGAGGCAGCAGCTGGGAAGGCTCCAACTTTAGAAACCTTCACTTAACTAAGTTGGAAGATTTAAATCTTAATAGCATATGTAAGAAACCATCTTTTTTCAAGAGAAGCTCTCAAACCTAGCATTTTCCGGTAATTCTGCAGCACGGTCATCTGCTCTGAAGTTTGAGGGGCTCAGATTTCTCCTGAAATGGGGAACTGAGTGGGAGCAGATAGGAGCAATTCAGGCCAGGACTGGTGCCTACCTCAATGGCAAGATGTGGCCTGCCAATGGCAATGTCCTCCTGAGCAAAGCAGCTAAGGCTGGACTCCGAATGTGTTGCCACAGCGGTGAGTCTGAGGAAGCTGTTCTCAGGTGGGTTTCGCTCAAAATAGGAGAAGGATAGGCTGGTGGTTATTCTCCTGACTGAAACACAGGACAGACAGTGTCAGTGCCAAGGGGCGAGTGTGTATACCACTGAAACAAGCCATAGTTACACACCGTTAAGGACTCAGAGCCTAGCTGAGGCCAGAAAGATGCCTCACTCTCCACAACAATTATAAACTTTTAATATGGTTAAGACCCCCATTCCCCATCCCCCGCCCCTATCACCACCTTTGCCAACACTCTTGGCAGACCACCTCAATGAGGTTGTAGAAAGGTCCCTGTGAACAAGAACAAGTTAAGCTCTTCGGGCCTCTGTCCTTGTCTAATAATAGCACCTTCCTAGTGGACTGGTTTGTGTTAAGTGAGATACTATAAATGAAGTGCTTATCTCAGAACCTGCCCCATAGTAGTTGCTGAATATGTGCTTACTTAGTTCCTTTCCATTCTCTGCTTCTTCTCCTTTCCTCCTGCAGAAAAGATGAAGGCATCAAGCAGGAATCCTTTCAAGCTCGGCTTCCTATTTCCAACTTATAGACATAGACATCTATCTACTCCTGGTATCACGCCCTCTCGGGGGATGAAGTTTTCCCACTGCCCAAGTTGAGTGCTCTGCTTTTTAAACCTGTGCCCTGTCCTGATCTTGCCACTGACTAGCTGTGTAAACTTGGGCAAATTATTTAACCTTGCTATGTTTCATTCCCCTCATCTGTACAGTGGGGATAGTAATGGTTCTTGCCTCACAAAGTTATTGTGAGGATTACTGAGATGATGCATATAAAGCACTTAACACCATGTTGGGAAAATAGTAAGTGCTCAGTAAATGTGAGCTATAATTACTCTAGCTGTCTCTCATTTCCTTGGGGCTTGCACCATCAGTTATAACACATCTCTCCTGAGGCCTCTGTCTTTCCCTCTATGCTGATTATTTTCCTCAGTGTGCAAGCAGATTCCATTCTCTCTCAACTTAAAAAAAAAAAAACCCCGCAACACCCTCCCTTTATCCAGTGTCCCGGGCTGACTACCTCCCAGCTTCACCTTCTCTTGTCATTCTTCCAGGAAAAGCTGTCCAGCTTGTCTCACCTCCCCAACCCAACTGGTTTAACTCCCAGGAAGCTGGCTTTTGCCATTGCTTCTCTGCAAGACCACTCTTTTAATGGACGCCTTGACACCTCATGACCTCTCTGATGACTTTGCTGGGCGCTCTCCTCCTCTCCTTGATTTCTGAGTCTCTCTACTCTTTCCCCAGTCACCCCCTAAATGTTGGTGCTGCTGGGTTCCCTCTTCACCCTCATCTAAGTCCTCTCCCCACCCCCTAAGCTCATCCATGTCCTGATCTTGGCCGCCCGCTCTGTGCTAGAATTCCCATATCTGATCTCCACCCCAGGACTTTATGCTAAACATCAGATTTAGGTTTACAGCTGCCTACCAGTCATCTCTACTTGGCTATTTCATGAACTTTCAAACACAACGTGCCACAACCCAATTCATCATTTTTCTTCCTAAGCCTACTTTTTCCCCATTTTTCCTATTCTAGTGATTCACCCAAAACCAGAAGCACTACCCCCACATACACATACATTCACAAATCAAATCCATCTCACCTCCTTAATATATTTTAACTCTAAGTGCTGCTAGGTTAGTGAGGATTTCATATCTTGACTTAATTATTACGCAACCTTTTCATCTCCAATCTGCTGATTCTCAACATTGGATGCATTTTAGAATCAAATGGGAAGTTTTATAAAACAGTACCAATGTCAGGCCACACCCCAACTCAGTTATATCAGATTCTGTTGGTGAGGCCCAGGTATCAGTATTTTTAAAGTTTCCCAGGTGATTCAATGTATAGCCAAGATTAAAAACCACTACTAGAATATGACTTCTTCCATTCTGTCAAAAGTTCTTTCGTTCTTTTTTCTTTTTGAAATGGAGTCTTGCTCTGTTGCCTAGGCTTGAGTGCAGTGCCACCATGATAGGTCACTACAGCAACGACCTCCTGGATTTAAGAGATCCTCCTGCTTTAGACTCCCAAAGTGCTGGGATTACAGGTGGGAGCCATCATGCTCAGCCAGTTCCTTTCTTTTTAAAATGAATTTCGGATTACATTGACATCCCCGTTTAAAACCTTTCAACAGCTCTTTGTTACCCAGAAAACAAAGCTCAAACTTCTTAGCTTGAGGTCTAAGACTTGTATGATCTGAGCTGTCCAGCCCTCACATCACTCCCCTTCCTCAATCTCTCTCAGGCTTGGAAAGTGAAGTGATGCAGAGACTAGAAGCAGGGGGCCTAGTTGGGAGGCTGTCCTAATCAGACAAGCTCTAGTCCATGCTGATTCTCAAACTTGCCTACACATTGGAATTACCTGAGGAGTTTTAAAAAAAATTATCATGTTCATGTTCCTCCATGGAGTTTCTAATTTAATAGGTCTAGAAGGCAGGCTGAGCGTCAAACTTCCCCAGGTAATTCTAACGTGCAACAAAGTTTAGGAGCAATTGCTCTAGCCTAGAGAATTTTTTTTTTTTTTGAGTTGGAGTCTCACTCTGTCGCCCAGACTGGGGTGCAGTGGCCACTCCCGGCCACCGCAGCCTCAGCCTTCCGAGTAGCCGGAATTACAGACATGCGCTACCACGCCCGGCTGATTTTTTGATTTATTGTAGAGATGAGGTTTCGCCAAGTTGCCCAGGCGGGTCTCGAACCCGTGGGCTCAGACAGTCCACTCACTCACCTCAGCCTCCCCAAGCAAGGGATTATAGGCTGAACCACCGAGCCCGGCTTAGCCTAGAGAATCTTAATCCGAGAATAACCCAGGGAGTTAAAAAACAAAAACAAAAACCAATGCCTGGACTCCATCCCAGACCAATTAAATAAGAATCTCAGGGGGAGGAGGCCCCTGTGCACATGTTTCTTCTGTCTGAAATGCTATGACTCATTTTCTGTTACTTACTCTCCTCATCCTTCAGACTTAGTGCAGTACAGTTTACTTGGGGGCAGCCTGCTCCACTCTGGGTAAAACACTCTCCTGCCATTGTACTCTGTTTACCTCAGCAAACACTTCCTACACTGCTATGAAGGTTTTGTTTACTTATCTGGCTGCAGTTGGAATTGTGTGTGTTTGTGTTTGTTTTTTTTTTCTCCCTGTGTCAGGGTCAATAAATATGTGTTGAATGCTTGAATGGGAAAGACAGAGACAGAGTGCGAGTGTGAGCACCAGAGACTAAAAGCCATCTCTGGAGACCCGCAAGGGGTGCCCAGTGCCTGCTGCCTGCCCTGCCCAAGGTGGGGGCCAGGTGTGTGTGGGGTGTCTGTGGAGCCATAGAGAGTGTTACCCAGGTTGGCGCTGAGTGACAGGGGCAGCTTCTCCCTCCAGAGCTCAGCAGCAAGAACGCCATTGTAGTACACAGCCTGGACCCCAATCACCAGCTGCACCACCTTCTCCTGGTCACTGGGGTTAACCAGGGTCACTGAGAGCTGGGCATCCCCTCTCAGGGGTAGGGAGCTGGGTGCTTCCAAGAACAGGTACAGAGGATCGGCAATCTCGAGACTGGGAGGACAGATGCCATTGTCTTTCTCGTGTTTCATTCTTCCTGTCTGGACCCTCTCCAGCACCTGTTTTTCTTGAAGAGATCCTGGAGAATGGAGAAAACAAAGTAGGCTTCTTACCTAGCAGGTATAGACCCTTCTAGTAAAAGCACAAATTATTTTTACATTTACCCATTTTTGCTCAAATGCCAAAGTTACAAGACCTTTGCAAACCTCTAAGGCCACTATTTAGTCCCCCAAAATTCTGTTAGGAAGCTTCACCACAGATATAGTGTGTCTCTTCCAAGTTACTCAAGGACTACGTTCTTTTTCAAGTACTATGAATTTGCCCCTTGAACAAGGAGAGAGCAAGCTTTGGGACAAGTCAACGCTGTCTCTGAGGACAGTTTTGCAGGAAATTTAATCTTCCTAAGTGAAAGAATTTGGATTTACTCAATAGACAATGGGAACTGTGGAATAGTCTGCAGAAGGAGAGTAACATAATGACATTTGAGCCTTAGAAAATTCATTCTGGAAACTGAAAGTTAGAAAGGCAATGATGATGGAGAGACCAGAGGCAGGAGGTCTAGTTAGGAGGTTGTTGCAATTCTGTAGACAAGAGATGATGAGGTCTTAAGTTAACTACAGGAAAGAGATCAAAAAACAGATGAGAGAATAGTGTGCGGCTGTGAAGGGAGAAGACTCCAGGGTGACAGGCCTTCTTGCTTGGACAAATAGGTGGATGGCGGTGCCATTAAGTAATATGGAGGAACAGGTTGGAATGTGTGGGAAGAGATGGGAAAGGGGCAACATCAAGTCTTCCAGCAGCAGAGCTTGGTATTACATATATTGTTTTATTGCATTAGTTCTCATCAAGGGATAATTTTGCCCTCCAGGGAACACTTAGAAGTGTCTGGAGACATTTTTGGTTGTCACAACTGGTGGAGGTGTTAGAGGTGCTGGCATCTCATGTGTACAGGCCAGTAATCCTACTATAATGTTCTAGAATGGACAGCCCCGCCCCCTCAAGACAAATCTGGCCCCAAATGTCAGCAGTGTCAACCAGGGTTGAGAAACCCTGTTTCATATAATGGGAAAAGGCCTGGGACTCTTTCTGACCTCATTTGTCTGGCCCATTCCTTCCCCTTGTTTGCTGTGTGAGGGTGCTGAGAAACCTAGGGCCCTTCCCTGGCCAGTACCTTCAGGATACTTGTAGTTCTGGGTGATGTCCTCGCAGCGGTTACTGCCCACACCCTTGGTGCTGATGTTGTTGCCAACATACTTTGTGTTGGAGTCAGTCAGTTCCAGTGTCCCATCCTCACGGCACTTCCAGACCACACATGAGGCGTTCACCGAGGCAAAAAGGTCTGACACTGCAGGACTCAGCCCCAGTGTCCCCTCCTTGACTGCTTTAACTGGGACCAGATCACAGGACCCCAGGACTGAGGAAGAGAAAGATTGATGAGCAAGAGAGCTATGTCCAGATCTTGCTAAGTTCAGAGCTGCATAACCTCAGTCCCCATTTTATACTGTATTTTCCCTTCCTGAGGACCAAGCCAGACGTGGACATTAGGCAGGGTTTCTGAGAGAGTATCACAGAGGTGAAACTTACAACTACTTAGCGATAATACTTTTTGGTCACAGCCTACGGCAGGAGCCCTCTCAGGAACTGGAGAGATAGAACCTCAGAGGAACACAGTGCAAGAAGTTCCCAAGTCAGATTTACTATTGATGTGACACAAATAGGACACCTTTTCTGAGAACTTATTAAGTGCCAGGTTCTGTGATGTCTGTGTTCATGGATGAGGAAAAACCATCTTATATGGTTCCTAAAGTTTCCTTCCCTGGGCTTGAGCCTATCTTGATACTTTTTCCACCTAGCCATCTAAGACCTTCTGCCCTTCATTGAGACTCAACTCCCTGGGCCATTGCTCTTAGGTGGCCTTATCTCTCCACAGCTTTGTGGCCAAGATGGCTGACACTTTTATTCCCTCAAACCCACTGGCATCAGGTCAGCCTTCTGCTGGCCATGATCATGCCTTCCACTTCTCTGGTGTTAGAGGACACAGGCCCCTTTTGGACCACCTGCTGTTCCTGAGGGACTCCTTCAACTTTTCAGCTCTGTGCAGCCCTGATAGTTTCGGGTCTACCCCTAGGCTTTACCTTCACCTCCGTTAGGAGCACTTGAGTGCAGAATCTGCCATCCGTCATAACCTTGGGGCAAAGCAGGTTGGGTCATCCAGCACTCCGTGGATGTCTGGAAGATCCTGAATGTAACAAAGGGAAAAATTCTAGTGAGGAAAAAAATGAGTGCTGAACAGGTTCTAGAAATGCAGCCTGGCAGAGTAGTTGTTAACATGGGGATGGGAGGACACTGTAAAAGTAGTGGCCACACTCCCAGGAAGGGGCGTGCATACCACAAGTGACCCTCAACACCTGTCTCCAAAAATCTTACAGTCTCCTTTTAGTGCCAGGGTCACCAGACATGGGGGCTCCCATGGGGATATGCCATGCAAGTTTGGAGCCTTTCTTGATCTGGAATCTCATCTTTCTTGGGCTTCTCACCAGATTCTTCCTCTCCGGCCTTCTCCGATCTGAAGCCCCTCCTCATTGTAGTACTCATCTACAAGCAGAGCCCCGCCAGTGCCCTGGGCTGAGGCAAATGTGGTCACAACACGCGCGGGGATTCCCAGGCATCGCAGCACTGTGGAGAAGGGTGGACAGTGCTATGGTGTTAGACCGGGGCTGGGAGAGTGTATAAGGCTAGGATGCTCAGTGTCTCCTCTGGGCAGGCTCTGTCTTAAATACCAGGTGACATCGTGGAAGGAGAAAGGGTATAGGCACCTAGAATTGATGCCCAAGAACAGGATGTATAAAGTCTGATTAATAAGGTACGAGTTATACAGCATGCAGGGTCAAATATAGCTGGGAAGAGGGTGACAGAATATATAACAGAGCACTGGTGGTTTGCTCTGTTGGGGCAGGCTTAGGGAAAGTTTCAGGGAGCAAGTGAGTTTGGGAGCAGTTTTCAAACGAGCCCAATTTTGTTGAGGGGAAATGAAACAGCAGCTGGTGGGGAGGAGCTACCCGGAGCGAATACTTGTGGGTATGATGAAGGTGGGGACATGCTGTGGAGTGGAGGCTGTGCCAGCTTTTGGAGGGTCCCTCCCACATGGGAGGCCAAGGGACAGCCCAAGAGGGAGTGCACACTGTAGAGCAAGTCAAGGTGACTGACCTGTGCATTGCCTACTCTGTACCTGTGCAAGTGATGGCAGCCAACACCCAGGCCTGACCCTCATATACAGGTCGCCCTCGGCCGGTAAGCCACTGCCGCAGGATGGGCACACTGCCCCGACGCTTGTTCAGCCAGGCCCCTTCTTGGGCAGCCTGGGTCAGCGGGGTGGGCAGGACACTCTTCTCCTTGAGAGCATGCAGCTGTTTGGGGAAATGTGTAGATGTCAGTGCGAGTCCCTCAGGCAGGACAGCTTTTGGGGGATGAGTAAGGAGGGTTCATCGTCATTCTCCAACCATAGTAAACAGACCACTTACGTCAGAGTCACCTGGTACTTGTTAAACCTGCATGTTCCTGGCTCCATCCTCGACCCACTGGGTTATCATCTCTAGGGCTGGGGTCCAGGACCCCTCCTTCCTAACAAGTCCTCCAACTCTAGCCACAAAGAGGAGCGTGAGAGTTGCCTCTCCTTGGAAGGTGGTTTCACTGGTGCTTAGTCCCCTGCACTGACTTCGAGGTGGTTTGCACCGGGGGCCTGAAGGCCACTTATCCCAAGTTTCCTCCTACTCACAGGCTGGCCTTGATGCTCACTACCTTTTCAGAGGGACTTCAGAGGCATAAGAGGAAATGAGGAATACATTACTACTTTAGGGACAAGGGAAAGCACCAAGTTACCTTCATGATCTGCATATTCTTAGAAATCACTTAGAAATAAAAACAATCCCTTTCATCACTTCAGCAGCAAGTGCTGGGCCAGATGGACCTTAGACCTTTCCATTCCAGGCTGGGGCTGAGGAGTGGCAGGGATAAAGGAGTGCTCTAAGGAGATCCAGGACCATTTCTGTCCTCAGCTAGCTTTTGTTCTGAGGGATGATATTCTTTGCTTTTCTCACCCCTGTGGTTGATATTGCCTGTTTTCCCCTCCTCACTCAGGCTCTGCTCTAGGAACTGTCTCCACACTCTAGGTTGAGGGAACCATTTGTGATTTGGGGATTTCCAGGGCCACAGAGGCAGAGAAGGTCAGCCAGAAGGCTCTTGTCTCATCCCTTCCCACTCTGGTTCCCCAACTTCTCACTCACCAAGGCACCCAACACACGTGCCACGTGCACGGGCTGGCTCCACTCCTCAACCTGCTTGTCCGTGCTCAGCAAGCCCAGGCTGAGGTCGATGACATCCCTCTCGAACTACAAGGATCACACAGGGTGATAAGGAAGGGTCTCCAGGTCAGGCATCATTTCATCCTCCTTCTGGACTCAGGCTCTAAACCTTCCTCCCTTGCCTCATTGTCTCCATGGGAGTTCTGGCTTTTCCCTCCCTCCCACTGTGCTCCCAGTCCTTTTGCCTGAACTTCCAGTCCTTGGCCTCTTCTGTTGTCTAACTCTCCCAACAGGGCATGAGCTCTTGAGGACCAGTATTGTGTATTGCATTGCATTGCATGTAGTGGACTTCTGCTCCTACTAGCCCTGAACTGGGTGTGCAGGATACCAAGACAACTCCTGCTTTTGAGGAGACCACAGTTTAGGACTGGAGAAGGACATACAGCCCCTTAGATCAGTGGTCCCCAACCTTTTTGGCATCAAGGACTGGTTTCATGGAAGACAATTTTTTCATGGACTGCAGTGGGGGCTGGGGAGTGAGATGTGCAGTCAAACCTCACTGCTAATGTTGGCTATATTTGTAGCCACTCCCCAGAGTCAACATCACTGCCTCAGCTCCACCTCAGATCATCAGGCATTAGATTCTCATAAGAAGTGTGCAACCTAGATCCCACGTATGTGTAGTTCACAATAGGGTTTGCGCTTCTATGAGAATCCAATGCCGCTGCTCATCTGACAGAAGACGGAGCTCTGGCAGTAATGTGAGCGATGGGGAGCAGCTGTAAATACAGATGGAGTTTTGTTCTCTTGCCTGCTGCTCACCTCCTGCTGTGTAGTCCAGTTCCTAACAGGCCATGGACTGGTACCAGTTCTTGGTCTGGGAGTTGGGGACCCCTGCCTTAGATTACAGATCACAGCAATGTGGCCAGGGCTCTTGTAGAGATGCCAACAGAGAAGGAGCCAGTAGAGAGACTCCCTCTGTCTTTGGGAGATGGGAAAGACTTCTAGAAAGTCTTAAATGACAAGAGTTTGCCCGGAAGGGAAGCTGTTCCAGGCAGAGGAAACATTCAGCCTGAATGCTTGAGGGATGGTGAGGAGCACAGGGTGACTCATGGGGAAAGAAGAGCAGAGACCTGACTGGAAGGGCTTTGGATGTAAAGCCAAGGGTTTGGTCTTTATCCTGCAGATGGTGGGGATTTAACTGAGGCTTGATTTGCCATAGTTTTTAGGACCATAACTCTTATAGCTGTGGTGGATGGTCGGATGTGGCCCAGAGGAAAGGGAGGCACCACAGGCCTGAAATGGCCAAAAGAAATGGCCTCATGACCGGGGGCTTTTGGACCTGCCAGCTCTGTCTGGCCTGAATATTGAAGGTTATGAAACTGTCACTGTCCCCCCTCCTTCCCTGAGGGCCCAATACCTGGCCAAAGTCCCAGGACTCTTCCTGGATGCAGTCAGCTGTGCCCAGGTAGATGAGACCATTCTGGTTCAACAAGTACTCCCTTCGTTGAGCCTCATTCTCCAGGAACACAGCATCCTCTGGCGAGAAGCGGATAGAGAAGAGGGCCTGTGGGATGCTAGTCTCACATTCCATGCCCAGGCCTCTGCCATCCCTGTCCCATCCAGGTTTGACTGCAGGTTTCCCCTTCAGTTCTGGGCCCAATGAGGACTGAAGAGGAAGTCTCTCTTCTAGTTGTCCCCTCAGAGCTGGCCCAGAGTCCCTGGGTCAATCGGGGTGTGTCTTTCATGATCAGCCAGGCAGACAGGAACAAGCCAACCTTAAAACATCGAATTGTTCCCAGAAGACATGTGCAGCCAGAGCACTACTGGCCCCAGAGAAACTGGCAACAGGCCACGGAGCTGCCCAATAGGTTGTTTGTCTTTCTCACAAGTTCAATTTGTAACAGAAAAAGGTGTTTCAGAGAAGAACACAGCTAAGCATAGGCTGACAGGAATGAGCAGAGGGAAGAGGAGTTCAGGGTCCTGCCTTTGGCAAGACAGGGTCAGGAGGAACAGTGGAGCTGAGAAGTAGAAACCAGAGTCTTGGATTTCTACTCTGGAGGAGTCTAAGTGGGAGTCTGCTCATCTGGGAAGTGATAAAGATATTTTCAGAGGTTCTCTGCCATTTCAGTCTCAGCATACTTGGAGATGAGGCTCTCTCCTGAACTCAAAAGGAAATTTTACATCATATAATGAACGTTAGAACCCTCCCTGTTCATAGGCTGGGAACCTTATCAAAGGGGCTGCTCCCAAGTGGAAAAGAGGGTGGTGCTATCTGTGTTCTTATACGGTACTTCCCAGAGCCCTACAGATCCTGGGGCCAAACACCTCAGTTTGAAGTGATTTCTTCCTAGTGCCCTTCTTGCTTTTCTCATCCAAAGGTTGGGCTGGGTATCATGGGGGTGGGTGACTTTTAAGAAGCCCATCACCTATTCCGGGAAGCAGATGTGCTGCCTTGCTCACCAAGTGTCTAACTCTCTGATCTGGTGGCTGGGGTGAAGTGGGGCATGGTTTGACTAGTTCCTGGGGGCTAAAAAAGAAAAAAGAATTCCCAAACCATCCAGACGGGCTGCTAGGTCACACCTCTCCAGGGCCCTCCAGGCATTCAACTGGGATGAAGGTACTCAAGGCAACAGAAGTATAGGGAATTAGAAATCAAGAAGACCTGAAAAATCTGTGGCTTAAAATCACAGACCCTAAAGGGACCCAAGGAGCCCTCAACTACAGCCCTTCCATCCTGAGTACTCTCTGAAGTCAACTAGGTGTCACTTTGAAAATCACACAATATGGAGAATGCCCAGCAATGAAGAGTAAGAACAGAACAAGCATGTGGAGAGGAACAAAGATAACAAAATGGTAGATTTACTGTGAAGCTGAAGCCGAAGCTTGAGTTCTCTCACTAACACAGGCCTCTAGGCCCTGGTCGGGAGAAGTGGTTAGCAATTCAAAATTTTATATTGTTTTTCTTAAAGAAGATCCCTCAAACTACATAAGCTTTTTTTGTGGGATATGAATCCCACAAAACCTGAATGCACTCCGGAGACAGACTAGAGGAGAGAAAGACAGAGAAGCCTATCTTTCAGGCTACCCAATTTCTGAAGCCCTTTCCAGTTCCTGCTGCTGTACTGTTATAATAAAGGATGACTAAAAAAAAATTTAATAATAATAAAGGGTAGCTTTCCTGTGGTTATCTCAATGAGTATCAGTTCCTGTGACCAAACTAGCCCGAGTCAGCACCAGGTCTGCTGGTGAGACACACTTTCACTTCCAGTGAGAAGTCCCAGGCTGCTTCTGCCAGGGGTGACAATAAGACAGGATCCTGGGTCTGAGAACCCATTCATCCAAGGAGAGGGCACTGGCACTAATTGAATGCTAGTGCTGCCCTTAAAGGGGGCTGCCAGCAGGGGTCTGGGCAGATGATTCCTGCCAGAGCTGCGCCCCAGCTCCAGTGTCTTGAGTCCCTGCGCAGCCCAGGCTGGCTCAGGTCCAAACTTACCTCTACCCCAGGGGTTAAAGAGCAGCGTAAACTGCCCCAGGAGGCGTGGCTTCCTGCTTGAGACCTGCAGTAGGAGCGAGTAGTGGCCAATGACAGCGTCCGCGGGTGGGGTCACCGAGATGGTCCAGGACTGGGCGTCTCTCTCCTCCACCTCTGCCCTCCACCACTTTTGGTCCCCCAGACTAGAAATCGGGAACGTGACTTGGGTCCTGTCGGTCTTGGAAGGCTGCTCTCCTGAGCCACACAGTGATTATTTGGTCATTTGAACTTCTTGGTCACAACTCACAGTAGTAAAGTCAGGGTATTACAAAGATGGAGCAGGTGAAAATTGACTTTGGAGGAGAATGAACGAGGTCCATCTAGTAATGAGTGCCATCAGTAAAGGGGGATGGGAGAGCACAAGCTCTGGCACCCGTGGACCTCCATTTAGAAAAGATTCACAGTCTTTGAAACGGGCATAAGAGTACCTGCTTCACAGGGTTCATGTGAGAACTGACTCATTACATGTGACATACTCGGCCCAAACCTGACATGCAGTATGGATTCAATAAATAGTAGCAATTAAATGCTATGTTTATATTTAGCCTGGGTTAGATTCCATTAAGAGTTTTCTATAAAGCTGATATTTTATTTGCAACCAAAAACACCACAAACAAACAAACAAAAACCCCTTATTGATAACGCTGTGGAGCAACCTTTGAATCACCACAATATTTATTATCCACATTATCATGTGGCATCCTCACAATGACCTTACCAAGTGGGCAGGACTTCTTAAGGCCCAGCTGCCACGTGGGCCATTTACCCTTCAGTTCCCTAACAGGGTGCTAGAGAGAAAACCCCTCAGTTATGCTGCCAAAGAGGCCAAGGTCTGTTCCCTTACCAGTTTGTGCAATGAGGGCCACCTTCTTCAGGGCAGGCAGAAATGTACGAATCGGAGCGCGGAAATGCAGGATGATGGTGAAGGGCTGCCCCCTCCTCACAATGAGGCGCCGGGAGCTGATGGCCTTGGTGTGGTGCTCCTCATTGTTTCTTGCTGCCTGGAAGTCACAGCTCTTGATACCCAGGGCTATTGTGGAAAAGAGAGTAATTGTGGAGACTAGGTAAATGTGGCAAATAAAAGCAGAGATTCTAAAGTCAGGGAGACCTTAACTCAACTTACTCATTAGCTATGCAAGCCAAGGCAAGTAATGTAACCATCCTGAGCCTCAATTTCCTTTTCCTTAGAATAACCATCCCTCCTTGAAGAGTTGTGAGGATTAAATAAGGTAATGTACATAATACACTTAGCATAGCATCAGACACCTAGTAAAGATGGCACAGTTATTATTATTAATGAGAGCAATGCTTGTTCTCATTGTTGACCTCCTTTTCTGGTCTCAATCCATAAGTAACGAATACAACCCAGATTCTTGGTCACCCCTATTCATTTTTTCCTAGAGTACAATCAGATAATTTTTGGAACTGGTTTTGAGATCAGAGTTCAATTCTGTTGTTTTATAGATGAGGAGAGTGAGACTGAGCATGGAACTGACTCACCCAAGATTGTGTGTGGTGGCTTTTTGACTTGAAGTCTCACCAAACTCATGGCACAATTCAACTCAGGAAACTCTTCAAGGAGATGGTCCAAGAGTATCATGACAGTCTATCAGTCAATTCTCATTTTACAGAGGGAAGAAAAAAAACAAGGAGCAGAGAAGCCAAAAGATATGCTCAGCAAGCCCAAGATAAGGCACAATACTGGGGGGAAAGTTTCTCTTGCAGAAAAAGAATTATGTACTTTCCATTTCTTCGATGGCAGGAGACCATTGGCGATCTCTTTGGTCTGAAAGGCAGTCTGCAGTTCTTACACTGACTTAGCTGCTATGAAGGAGAAAATATGGCTTTTTTTTCAGATATGGAATCTTCAGGGAAGTGATCTGACCCTGATGACAAAGTCCTTTGGGCTCCAAGTCATGTCTTGGCAAATTCAGGATAAACCTACTTCAGATTTCCTTCAGTTCTCAAACTTTCTGGCATAGAATTCAAGAGCAGAAGGGAAGGATGAAGAAAGAAAGGAAAACAACCTACCTTCTCTAGTTGTTCTTTCATTTGTGATGGAAAGGATAGAAGATGTCCATCATATAAAATTAGAGGAAAAGAACTGACATTGTTGAATATGAAGAAATGTGCAAGCATGCAGAGGAGGGAAGGAAACTCCCTGCACCTCTGGTCCTGATGTTTCTGGATGTCCCTTGTACCCTTGTATCCCCCTTGTCCACCAGTGGTTAGGTCAGGCCACAGTTCTACATAAAATAGTCATGGCATGGTTGGAGTTTGTAAGTTGAAGTACAGCAGCTTTTAGAAACCAGAAGTGATTCCCCTCTGCTTAGCACAAAGATGGTGCTGGGCACCAGGATGAGCCTGCCTCTGCAGACTGGTTGAGCTAGGTTGAATGGTGACATGGTGAGCAATCAGTCCTGTCCTAAGGCATATTATTTAAGCCTCGGTGTATGTGAATCCACGTAATGACCATAAGTGGTACAGCAAAAGCCGCTATTTAGAATTAATTTGTTTGGACTCTGGTTCTGTCTAGAAGACTTGACCTATCTTTTCTCTAGCTGGCATGTGTCTGCTCATCTTCCAAAACCCAAAGGCACCTGCCTCTGAAGCCTTTACTGACTCCTCCTGGTATAGGTTGGTCCTCTGAACTTCCACACTCTGCTCCACTCTTTTCATCACTTATCCCATTTTATAGCCATCACCTGCCTAGCTCTCTGCAACCCATTTCACTGTGAGCTTCCCAAGGTACAGTGTCATTTTCATATTGCAACCTCCACCCCAGCAGTGCATATAAAACTGTAGATACCCAGTCAGCGTTTGCTCTACCAATGAATGGACGACAACATTGAGACGGCCTTCAGGTTATTTCTTGGATGCACCGCAGGGGTCTCAAGCCTCCACCTCTGCTGATGGGCCCTTGCAGAGGCTCCTGAGTGTTCTGCATTCTCTAAGTCTGCTTGGTTTCTTGTTTCATGTCTGCCTCTGCCCCTTTTAGGTGGATTCCCTGTCTCACCTCCCCTTCTCTCCCATTGGGCCTGAGGTTATGACACCCTCTTGCTTTCCCAGGGTCTTCTTCTATTTGATTCACAGTCCAATGAGAAGTCATGTTAACGCAGAGATTAAGTAGAATGCTCTTCAAGGGATTCACTGATGGGCACAGTGTCCAGTATCCCGCTCTCCTTCTTCTCTGCTTTTCAATACCCCAATGCTGTCTCATCGTGTCCCTCAAGTTTAACAAGTGGCTTGGGGGATGGAGAGAGAGGGAGTACAGTCGTAGTATTTGACATTTTCTGTGGTGTAGATACTCCCGCCATGGCCAGCTTCAAGCAATCGATGTGTTGTCATTGAGTGCAGAGTTGTGAAGACATGCAGAATAGCACAGCATTATATGGTTTTTCTACCATACAGATAACAATACTTCCTTCAAGAACATGAAGCAGTAGCATAGTTAGAAAGTGATACATTTAGAATACTTATTATCTGTCTTTTTAATATAATTTTATACAATTTAATTTTTAATAATGCCCTTGTTTAAGAACTGGTGCACAAGATTCCTAAAATTTTAGCAGTTGGTTCTTGCAGGCCTGTATAAGCCAGCACAAGCCAGCTCCAGCACACCATGACCATGGAGCTGACACTTGATGAATCTTGTCTGGTGGCTACTGGGCCCTCTGCCACCTTCAGCCTGGAAATAATTTGGTGATCTGAGGTGTCCTCTTGTTTGGGACTGGACTTGACAATCTCCTGATAGTTTCACATGTGTCTCACTGATTGAGTAGCTTTTTTATTTGTCTGGGTCACCACAGAGTAAAAAGGATGACTTATTGGTGTGTCTGCCCTATTTGCACAAGACATGATTGAGTTGATTGTCTGAATTCATCCAGAATTCCTTTTTTTCCCCTCCCTCTCAGGTGTTGATCTCAATTGCCTTCCACCTACCAGACTGGCTGACCAGGGTTGGGACGTGAGGCAATTTCTGCTGCTTCCTACTGTCCCCATAATTTCCCCATCTTTTCCCTTTGCCTGCTCATTTCCTTTCCCCAAGAGATAATAGTTAATTCCTATCAAGAGTGCCCTGACTCTGATGACCTCAACCTGCTTTTTGCTTTATGTCTGCCTGTGACCCATTTAGTTGGATTGCCTGACTCTCACTTCCCTTCTCTCCTATTTGGTCTTGACGCTATGATACCCTCATGCTTTCCCAAGGTATCTCTCATTTGTACTACAGCTCAGTGAGCTGTGAACAGCCATGTTATGATGATCCTGAGATAAGAATATAAATCCATGTTAACCACCATCACCATCTCACCCATTATCATCACAACTATGACCACCAGCTTACCCCAATGACCTACCTCATTACTACTCCATAGTTACACCATGGTCACACCACCCTCACCTCCATCTCCCTCAGCATCCACTTACCACACCCCTCTCCACAGCCACACCACCTTCACCAGCACCTACACCACCATCGCCAGCCCCCATGGCATTCCTCTATCACCTCCACCACCATCCATTCCATTCCTTTAATGAAAATACATGTGGAGAGCTAGCTTGGCTCACCCTGTCCCATGGCTGCAGGCTGCTCTTCTCATCCACTTGACCGCAGGAAATGTCTGTCTTGAACTGTTGCTTCTGGACTCCCTCTCTTAGACTGTCTTCTAAACAGAAAATGGTGGAGATAGTTTTGTTGGTTTAAGAATCTGCAAATAACCAAACTTTTCTCCACTCCTCTGGTGAGCACCCTGACAGGTTTCTTCTCTCCTACAAACTCCCTGCTGGTATCTCCTGGACCAACTGCTGGGAGTAACCCTTTTCATTTTATCTCTTGTGCCAGGAGGCCCAGGCAGGGGTATGACTTGCAAACCTGGAGGATGGGATGGGATGGGGAAGATCTACTAACTAGAGAAGACTTTGTTGTTTCAGTGTCCTTAAGAAATCCTCAGAGATGTTATTTGGACAAAAATGGAAGACTCTAGAAGAGATGACTCCACAAACAGGAGAACCAAATTCAACTCCAAATCTCAGGCCACAAACATATCTAGATGTTCATGGGCTGTTTTGACAATAGAGAGAACATGTGTGTCTGGAATTCATCTGTGTGAAACAGATAAGGAGGTAGAATTTGTTGATGAAAAATAAATGTCCTAAAAACAGAAACCAGGGCCCCAAGTTTTCCAAGCCTACCTGGTCTGGAACACTCTACCAGAGAAAGTGTGGAACTATCTTGGGACTCAGGTCCTGTGTCTTTTCAATTTATTCTTGTTTAGTTAGTGAGGAGGCAAGACACAAGAGAGGAACTCGCATTTGACCTTCTTTGGCCTTCTAAAGCCAAGTTTTAACCTGGGCTTCTGAGACTGTGTCACCAAAAGCACTCTCGGGGCAGCTGTGCTTGCCTGCATATATACGGGATGTCTATAGAAGGATATAAACCATATTAGTTGCATATGGGGAGAGAGGAGAGGGGAGAATATGGAAAATGGGGTAGAAAGATAATATTTGTTTGTTTACTCTTTTATACTTTTTTTTTTGAGTTGGAGTCTCACTCTGTTACCCAGACTGGAGTGCAGTGGCACATTCACACCCCAGCAGTAACCTGCTGGGCTCCAGCGGTCTTTTCGCCTCAGTCTTTCAAGTAGTTAGAACTACAGGCTCGTGCTACCACGCCCGGCTATCCCTTTTATACTTTTCAAACTTTGAACTATTATCCATTTGAAAGATCTTATTATGTAAAAAACTAGAACTGCTGCCTTTCTACCTTCCCCCAAAAATATTTTTCATAAGAAATGAAGTTAATTTTTTTATTTGAAGATATAATTTTTACCTAGAAAACACAAATCTACTAAAAAATGATTATAAAATATAATTTAGTAAGCTGGCTAGCACCAAAATTATAGAAACCAATAGCTTTCATTACCTACAACCAATAACCAGTTAGCAACTATAACTAGACTGGACTTAGTGGCTCATACCTGTAATCCCAGCACTTTAGGAGGCCAAGGCAAGAGAATTGCCTGAGCCCAGGGGTTTGAGACCAGCCTGGGAAACTTGGTGAGACCTTGTCTCTACAATACATCAAAAAATTGGTCTGGTATGGTGGCGCATGCCTGTAGTTCCAGCTACTTGGAAGGCTGAGGCAGAAGGATTGCCTGAGCCCAGCAGATGAGGTTGTGGTAGTTGTGATCATGTCACCACACTCTTGCCTGAGTGACAGAGTAAGACTCTGACTCAAAAAAAAAAAAGAAAAAAAATTTTGAAAAAAGAAAATATAATTAAAGACCCAACTTACAATAGTTAACAATAATAACAAATAGTTTTGATGTCTTTGGGATTAAAATTAAAAAAGAAAATAAACATAAAAAATGTGTAAGGCTTTCAGACCTAGAAAAAACAACACAGGAATTCATATGGAAACACAAACATCCAAGAATAGCCAGAACAATCCTCAGCAAAAAAAACAAAGCAGGTGGTATCACAATACCAGATTTCAAACTTTACTATAAAGCTACAATCATCAAAACAGCTTGGTATTGGTACAGGAACAGGCATATAGATCAATGGAACAGAATTGAGATTCCAGAAGCAAAACCTCAATTTCTCAACCAACTCATCTTCGACAAAGCCCCCACCACCTACCAATGGGGAGAGGAGAACCTATTCAGTAAATGGTGCTGGGAAAATTGGCTGACCACATGCAGAAGATTGAAACAGGACCCCTATCTATCCCCATGCACAAAGGTTAACTCCAAATGGATCAGAGACCTAAATGTAAAACCTCAAACCATAAGAACCTTAGAAAAGGAAGGAAATACTCTCATGGAAATCGGAACTGGCATCCAATTCCTGTACAAAACCCGAAACCCACAGGACTTAAGAGAGAAGATAGACAAGTGGGACCT